AACACGGCTTTTTACAGGTCATTGATTCCTGCAAAGGGGGAAGAATATTTCTGTCTCTCTCTCTTCCAAAAGATGGAGAATATGTGCTGATGCGAGCGAAGGAGGAGGAGGGCACGAGCATACGTGAGAGCGTAATGATGGTGACTCGATTATGACCTGTGCTGCTGTTTCTATCTCTTGTATGGAATCTATAAGGATTAGGTCATCCGTCTCCTCTCACGCTCTTCTTCTTCCTGTTTCCTTTTTACCTTTACATCAAGCCCATCCCTTCCCTTATCTCCTCAGTTAGCCTTTTATACCGCGCTTGTTCGAAAGCATTTGATGCCGTTTTTTTTTTTTCCCCCTCTGTGAAGTCATTTAAGATGTCGCAGATAGCTAACGAAGCAATTACACATGGCAGACTTGTCGCCTCTGTGTAAGAGATCAGTGGAGCCTGGCATGCCCGTAGACGTATATATAGAGAGAGATATAGGCTCCTGTGTATAGCCACTGAAGCTAATGGAGCAGAAAGCCAATTCTACCACAGTGTAGCAGTAATAATTATGACTGATCTCAGCTGTCTGCTATTATCATTATCACTACACAACTGTATGCATATGTGTGAAGTATGATGGGGATTGAAAAAAAAAAAAGGTGGACGCAGATTGGGAAGAGGTGGGGGACTCATGAAACGGCAGGCAGGACGGAGGGAGGAGAGGAAGATCACATGAAGTTGTACAGAAAGAAAGAGTTCCTCAGAAGAATCACTTAATTAAGGTAAGATAGGAAAACAAAAAAAAAAATACTTCACTGTGTGCTTGTCATTAATGAGACTTTTAGCAGGGAAAAAAAACAAAAAAAAAAATACTTCACTGTGTGCTTGTCATTAATGAGACTTTTAGCAGGGATAAGACGACTCAAAGAGGAGCCAGAACAGTGAAGGGGGAGAGGAAAGAAAGCTCAGGTTAAGTGGTATTCTCAGTAGAACGTAGCGCTAATACCATAATTAGGGGAGTATGCGTATACTGTTAATGCTGTGGTCACTCGCTTTGTGTCGCACTGGTTGCAATGTCAGTTTGCTCTTTGGGGGGCCTGCTGTCCATAATTTACAATGAGAACGGGATACAAGAAAAATACATTTGACTCCATATGTTATGAACATTAATGTACATGGTCTGGGTGTGGGGGAGAAAGACAAAGATGATGTATAATTTATTCAGTTAAATAACTGATGGTAATTTTTCTATTCGGTTCAGAAGTTTGAATTTTTTCCTCTCTCTCTTCTAGGAAAAAGGTCACTGCCGGGTGAAACCTCAGTGTCTGCAACTGGTAAAACACACAATTACCACAGAATAAAGGCTAAATTATTGAACAAAGGTTCTTATAAGGAATGCTCGGGATCAAATATTTAGCAGGTAAGGCTTCCGTCCCGTGACCATGGGGAATGTTAAGTACGGGGCGGGATGTGGAAATGGTGCAGCACCGAGCGGCGCACTTACATGAAGGAATCTTTCCAAGTTAAATGCACGACAAAGATAATCCAGCAGCTGCTCAAATAATGAACCATTTTCTGTCTGATTGAAATATAACTGATCCCCAGCCTATGAAATTGAGGGACATTGTTGGCAATCTGTAAAAAAAAAAATGAATAAAAAAGCCGTTCCAAGTCCTTTTATTTGCTGGCTCTGGTTACTCTGCCATTATTAATGTTTATAAAACGCCAGCCGGAATTGAGAAATATACACTGTCTGGGTCTTCCTGACAGCCTCCCTCATCACTGGCTGCTATAAAGAATTAAAACAAAAGATCTCACACACTTGCTGGTTCAGTTTGCACAGGTCCTACAGGGATATCTGTTGTTCGTCTTGAGCACTTCACATTATTGGGATGGTAATACGCTCCTGGATCGGCAGGAAACACCGTTGGCCATATTGGACTGCACCATTTGGACGCATTGTAATAAGTAGCCATCTGCACTGCACGGGATTGGCGATTCCCAATTCACACATGAGTTTTGAATAATTGAATCACGCACCGTGAGAGACAAAAGTATCGCCGTTCAAGCCATTACTAAAATGAAAATGGCAGGGTTGCTTTTCATAACGCACGCTGAGGTATGAAGTCACCTTTCACCTGTGCTCACGATGCAGAGGTGACGGGAGAAACAATTTTGCACATATAACAGCTCTCGTCCTTCTCCATCGCGGCGGCTTTGAATTGATATTGTGCTTAAAAGTCGACCTTTCCGTAACATACTCGCAGCTACGTTTGGGAATCGTGGGTAATGGAATGTTTGAGCAGCGAGAGAGAAGCTCGCCATTATTTTCGACTGCTATCCCAGGGTTTTCATTTCTTTTTTTTAAGCTTTTCCTCTGCACACATTTATCCACACACATACTGGGTCAGACAAGACTTTTTCTCTGGCTTTCCTTCTCAGTGGTGGGGTGGTTAGAGGCTGGCTATTTTCGCTAACCTTTTTCTCCAGTCTGACATACATCTGCCAGGCCTTTATAGCTGGTTAGATGCTCAGTGTGAACACCGTTTCAGAGGACGCCGCACCATGTGGAAAGGCTTGATTCGGCTGAAAGCGACTACACAAGCGCTCTGAGAGGAATACCAGGCCCCTCTTTAGTCATTTTATGCCATGTATGAATTTAATTGAATCCCAATGACAGACCAACAAATGTTCAGAGTATTAAGGGAGACTGTGGCAGGAATACTGTATAACAAGTGCTTTAATTCCCTCAGAAGTAATTATGCTCTCTGATTAGGGAATTGTGCGTTAATGTAATTATGCTGTGCTTTAAAGATTAATTTTGTCTGTGATGGCATGCTGTGTTATGTCGGTGTCTCACCACATTATCCATAATCACAGCCCACTGTTATCTGTAAAAAGATCCCTCTGGTGTGGAGGACAGACACGCTGCGAGTGTGTGTTTCAGGGGGTCTTATTTTCCTGCGCTGCTATTCGTGGAAGTGAATGTGCCGAACCTGTGCGCGCAGATGTCTCTCCTTCCAACAGGAATACACGAGGATAAAGGCATCACAGGTGTGAGTCTGATACGTCTCTCTAATCCTAACCCATATCCACTGTTTTTATATGAACATTCATTCGTGTCGGGAAACCCGTCTTCTATCAGAGGGAATGTTAAGAAACCTGAACTGTAAGAACAAAGGTGTCCATGCTGTCTTTGTTCAAACATATAGTTGTGACTCGATAATCCGACACTAAATGTAAAACCTTCTTTTATGTCGGATTGTCAAGACGGAGATCGAGATACAAGGAGGGCTTGATGCTTGAAGGCTCATTTGTTGCTAATTATTGTTCATAGTTGTTATAATAACTAGTAGGGCTGGTCCCAATAGCACTTTGTGGTCTCTGGATATTCAGGCCCAACTAACAATGAATATTCGGCGCGGTCGGCAATCCAATTTTTTTTTTCTCCTATGCAACCTGTATCTGATCTTTTCATGATAATTAAGGATGCATATCCTAATGTAACATTAGATTTTTGTATAATTATATTCATTTGCCTTTGCTAAATTTGTTTATTATTTTTGTATTAAATTATGTGGTGCCTTATATCTTATTTCACTAAGTATTTAGTCAGATATGTTGTTATTTTATGTTTACTTCTTGCCCTGCTCTATGTCCCAAATGTTGGTTCCTACCTGCTATTGTTTTAGTACAGCGCTTAGAAAGGAGGGACGGGGTGAAGGGTGAGAGTGAAGCGCGGTGAGCCTATGTTGGTCTGGGCTGCCAATAAAGCTGCTGAACTGTCCTGCCGTTGTGGTGAGTTATTAGCACGGAAGATAGCAAAACATAACGCGAGTATAAAGTAATTGTAACCCGACTGACCCACGCCTGGAGACAAGTGAGACGCTCAACATTTCAGGGCTACATGTCCATTTCTGAACATGCGGGACACTTTTGAAGTTCACACAGCAGATCACATACAAGCTGCATTTAATTGGAAATGTGAACAAACTCGCAAAAAAAATAAAAATGGATTTCACAAAAAAATCCAAATTGAGCATTAAGTCCTGCAGTCTGAACGTAGCCAATCTGTCGGATTGTTCAGTTAGATAATACACTGTTATCTTTATTTGTGACATAAAATGTCATGTTGGAGTCGGAATCCAAGGCTGTCGGTATGTTAAGGCTATTTTTAATGGGTTCCGCTCATTTTTCCTAAAAACCTGTCGAATAGCAACGTTTTGGATTGTTAAGGGTCGGATTATCGAGTCACGACTGTACTGACATATTTCAAGAAGGTTTGCTTAGAAGTGTTCTGTTCAAATATAGCAACTGAAACATACATAATGTTATCATGTATTATTATTATTACATTCATCTACATTCTAGATTTGAGTTCCTGGCATCAGTCACTGAATATACAGTATTCTCACAAAACACACACACACACACAAGTGCACACAACCCAACAGTGTGATTAATATGTGTGCGTGGCTGTGAGGGAGAGGGCTGTCTTTCATGAGGCCTGTTAAAATTCATTATGCGTGTATCATTACCAAATACCACTTGAAAATGCTCCTAATTAATCCAATTAACACCAGGCTTTATTGAAGGGGAGGTGAGTTGCTGGGCTGATGCTGTATCTAGCTGGTGCATGAAGGAACATACGGAAAAACGAATAAGCAACCGGCGTGCGAAAACAAAGAACGTAAAGACGCATTAACTGCTTCTTCTTTGCATTTGTTCTGCTAGAATTATTGATGGTTCAGGGGGGAGAAAAAAAGAGAAAGAAAAGAAAAAGAAATCTGTCACAGAAGAATTCAGAATTAAATAGAGAAAAGTAGCAGGACTGTACTCTGTTATGCAAGGGTGACAGGCACAAGGAAGGAAATGCCTGAATAAATATGGGATGAAATAATGTAGAGAGCAGGTGCGGTGGAATTCCCTGGTAAATCCAGGAATTATGCAAATCCCTTCCACGCTTTTGAGCAGAAATGATTCCCCCCTTCACCTACGGTAGTACACTCTTGTTTTAACTACTTACCCTGCTGACTCCACGTCCCCTGTCTTCTCCGTAGTTCGTTCCCAGGATTTCGAAGAAGATATTGGGGTTAGTGCCGTTGTCGGTGAACTCCAGGAAACTGGTGATCCCGCTTACTCCGAACTGCAAGAACAGAATGAAACGTTCAGATGTTATCGATGGTTCGTTTCAGTGGTATTATTGCTGTTTGGTTAAAATTATCAGTAATCGTCATCCTGATACTCATTAGTATAATTACGCCTCATCATCTGTATAACGTGTCTTTGGCTATAGTATAATAAACCTCATCAACAATCACCCTGTGAAATTTGGACAATTAATCCCTCAGTTTCAGATGCAAAAGAACAAGTCCGATCCACAGATCTCCACCTAATAACCTCATGTTTGGTGCCAACTTGCTGGTGCCAAACACCACAGGACACCCCCAGAGGTCCCCTGTACATGCCTCAAGGGGTCAGAGGTGTTTTGTCACAAGAGGGGGACCGGTTCAAAACTGCTCAGGCTGCTTTAATGTTTCAACTAATCAGCATATTTCCAGCTAAAACTTACATGAAAGTGGGTGTAGCTCTATGCTAGGATGCATGTGGGTGGGTGTGCGTCTTAAATGTGCATTATATGTTAATGTGTGCGGAAATAAAAAGGAGCAAATGGCTGCATTAGTGTCTCTTTTATGAGTAACTGCATATATGATATAGTTCATAAATGGCTTTAATGCACTTTTTGGTTTATTAATCCACACTGACACACAATTATACTGTTAGGATATTTAATTATTTTATCCCCCTGGGATGACCAGGGCCACACACACACACACACAATACACACAATACACACTCACATGCACACAAACACAGACTCAATAAAGCACATGTTCATTTTCTTCCTTGTAAGCTCGGCGAGGGTGAAACTCGCTCAGATACTGTTCACTGCCTTTAATAATTATTTCGTTAATTAATGCTGGCAGCTCAATATTGGAACAATACATTGAAGAAAATATATATTTTAATTGCACCTAATGTAAGAACATGCCATTAGGCCTCGGAGAATTAATGAAAGGCAGAGGAATAAATAGGAAGACTCAAGGTGTTTTCTGATGTCTAAAAGCTACTTAAATCTAAGATGAAAGTGACTGAGTCGGTGTTTTATAATAGCAGCCATATTAAATCGAGAAGAGTTAAGGTTGTACTTTGAAACAGCCCCGTGGGCCCTCCTGGCTCCGGATGTTTGGCTGCATCGCTGCCCTTACTTGCGCCTTAAAAGTGATCAATAACATTTTTAAATGAATCCTAAAACCTAAACTGCTTGAGTCACAGCGACTCAAAGGAGGATCTACAGCGAGCAATGATACGCAGTCGACTAACAGCGCAGCACAAACAACACATACTTCAGGCTTTGGGGGATCAGTCTGACAGCAGCTTCACCTGCTGCACCTTATTTCCCGCTCTGAATTCGTCAATGACACCAAACAACAACATCAATAGAGCTCCTCATCAACAGCTGCAAATTAGTATTTATCATTACCATAATGGCCCCACATACCAAAACACTGATTAAGCACACGGGCACACGCACAGTAAGTAAAGAACACTGCTGATACAGTGCAAAACGGAACCGATGCCAGGGCTGTTGAACTATTCTATTACTGCTCAGGGCTCTTCAACACAGTTCTGTTGAGACAGTCGTGGAGGTTGGGTTAACAGACGGGGCTGGCTGATGAAAGCGTTGCCAAACCCCAGTCTGATCTCAAGGTGAAGTGCAGAGATAGATATGAAAGCCATTTCGCCGCATTTATTTATTGTCTGACACTAATCCTAAATTAGCATTTCACTTGGCTTCATCATTCAGTCAAACTGCCATCCCTCGAGTAGTTTTTTATTGATATCAAAACAGAGGGCATTGATCCAATTGGATTTAACAGTGATGAAAGTGTTGCCAAACCCTCGTCTGAACTCAAGGTGAAATGCAGAGATTCCTGAAATTATAGCTAAAGGATGAAATCCTCTATCTGCCAAAAGTCAACTGTTCAGGAACTGAAGAAAACTTGCTGATTGATGCATGTATTTTTTTTTTTAAAGGTATGCAGTCCTTTGAATATATGATCACTTGGGTCGTGAAGTCTGCCGAGCTCAGAACTTGGAAACTTTCAGTCAAAGTAATGAACAAAAATTGGATTTCCATGTGATAAGAACAATATAAAAATGGTGGGCTTATTTAGAGCCTCCTCCATGTCACTCTTCATCCCTGGAGGGGATTTCAGCTACGCCAAGCGATGCCACTGTATAAATGAATTTAGCAGTGACTGCATCTCGCTGTTTCAACTAGACTGTTTCAGCCATGTAACAATAGTGCCTGGTCTCCAAAATTCCCTGTAATGAGCACAATGTCTTGAAATGCAAATACATGCTCCCTAAATGTAAAGTGCAAAAAAAAAAAAGTGTTTTTCCTGCTGCTAAAAGATACACGAGACACATCTATAAATAGGAAGAAATCGGAAATTCTGCTTGGGTGCTGTAGTTGGTACGACAATGGGCATATGCTGCTGCTTTCAACCCGAGTAATCAAACCTCAGTTCCAAACTCTGACAAAAATATTTTCTGGTGTGAGTCGTTTCTAGCAGATATATAGAGAATACTTTAGAACAACTGCAGAATTATTTTTTTCTTATTTTAGAGCTATTTCCAACCGACATGCACACACCTACAAGCATCCCGCTGGGGAAAGCAGCATCAGGTGACTTTGGGTCAATGAAGTTTAACATTTGAAAGATAAACTAGGTATGACAAGAGTTGGTTTTATCAGACAAAACACATGGTATCAGTTGCTTAAACTTCTGTATGTTTCTTTAAGTTTTAACATCGTTATCACAGACTTCTGTAAATCATTGTAAGTGTTCTGATTGACCTCCGTTAATAACCACAACATGTGAACCATGTGTAACTGGTGGATTCAGCGCTCTGCGTCGAGGAGACTCTTTTGGAGACGATCTCCGTTTATTACAGACCTGGACAGCTTGACAGCCGATAAAAAACAAACAAAAAAAACATACAAAATCTTCCGTCAACTCACAAAATCTGAACCCCTCTTGTACAGAACACAGAGGTAAGGCAGGAAAAGCTCAGCTATGGGACGGGATGGGGGGCCAAAAGTGTACGTAGGGGTACCAGGACCACCCCCACAGCAAAGGTTCCACACAACTAAGAGGCAGACCAAACGTTATATAATTATAACAATACATAAAATAACAACAAAACAAATTGGTATATTATGTACTACAAATACTGCATATATATATTTGACCCAAAACCACTGCTGCATCACTGACCCTGTTACACATGGAGAGGAATTTTATTGCTCTCAGTTGTTTTTTGTCTCTCCGTTTGGAAGGATTTACTGACCATACAGCAACAACTAAGCTGTGCCTCAGTGACTGAACACAGCTCTCCAGAATCCTGACCTCAGCTGTGCAGTTAACACCATAGACTGTATAAAAGATGGACGTAGCAACCGGCCCTGAAAAATGAAGCCAACCCGGAAGTGTCAAAAACCTGCAATATCACTACGTCC